TCCTCTCCTCTCCTCTCCTCTCCTCTCCTCTCCTCTCCTCTCCTCTCCTTTCCTTTCCTTTCCTTTCCTTTTCCTTAAGAAGCAAAAGAAATGTGGTAAAACTTCTTCATTGTTCTCTTACAATCATTCTGAAAATTTATCTTTGCATTTCTAATATTTTCTTTTATATGCTTTTTGCTATGTTATCTAAAGCATAATATCAGTGATCATTGTAGCTTGTAGCTTTTACTACTAATAATACAAATACTAAAAGCAACCAACAGTTCATGAGCCAGTGTCATATGTCAGGTCTTCAAGTAGGTATTTTTGATAATTTTTTTAATTTAATACTTACAACAACCCTATAAGATAAGCATATTTATCACTTTCAATGAAGATTCTGGTGACTTGCATACTTCATTAAGAAACACAAATAAACAAAACAATTTTTTTTGTTTTATATAATGCATCTCGATTTTAGCACCGCTTCATTAATATTGATATTGTGACTCTTGCTGACTTTTTGGTTGCTTATGCCTTGTACAACTGCGTCTATCTTTTAATATTTAAATTTTATATCACTTAGCATGGTGTTGGTATATAGTAGTTATGCTACAAAAATGTTTGTGGAATGGACAGGTCTTTTGGAGTCACTTTTAACAAATGTATATCCCTTTTACAAGGCATATAATTGAATTTTGTTTATAATCCAGTGTGAGATGGTTGCCAGAGGAGTTTAATGTATTTACAATTATTGTGTTAATGACATGTTGATTTACTTCTGACATTTAGCATTTTGTATTCTTTTTAGGTTTCCTTTAATTTTCCTTTGCTTTTACTGTTGCCATATGAACTGTGAGTTCTTTGATTAAATATACATACAAATTGGCTTGGAAAGTGTACATCTTGTTTTAATTTCCACTTTTGATTGACATCTGGCTTGTCCTACAGCTGAGTGCATTCATGCTGCTGGCAGGATAATTGGACTTCCCATTGCAGCTGCTGCTTCTCAAGCTTTTATATTTATGTGCCAGCCTACAGTAAATTATGTTCGTGGTCATAGTTTTCTCATTTTTTTTTGTGATCTCATTTGAAATAATTTATTCTTTTGAAAGTGAAACATATTTGTGATATTGTGTAGTCTTCTTTAGTTATTAGTCTTGTCCTAGTCATATGAGAAATGTTGAATGATATAACATGTATTGATTGCCTGCTATGTATGCTCTGCTGAACTATGCAAGTTTGGAGGAGAAAAAAGAATATAAAGTAGTATCTTGTTGTGTTTTCAAGGGGCTTGAAGTATAACTGGCAGAGAGACTAGATGTGCATCCATAAAATGTTAAATAACCCCAAAATTAAAATATAAAGAATATTACCTGGCACTGTTTATAAATAAATGTCAAGTAAGAAACATATGCAAAAAGTACCATAAATTCGGAAGCCAGAAACATTATTTAGAGTTGAAGTGTTCTGAAGTATTTACAGAGGAAGAAGGAACCCATCCCAAGGTGGGTGAACAGTGTGGACAAAGGTTCAGACCTGGGCATGTGGGTGGCATGTTAGTGAGATGTCAGGCAAATGATTTCATGGAATCATTTCAGAGGTTTCATGGAATTGGAAATGATTATGGAAGCTAAGTCCCAAGATTTCTGGTCAGTAAGTTGGTGAACTTGAAGAACTGATAGTATAGCTCTAGTCTGAGTCTAAAGGCAGGGAAAGACTGATGTCCCAGCTGGGAGACACTCAGGCGGATAGAGAGAAGTTTCTCCCAAAGTAACTTTTTGTTCTATTCAGATCTTCAATAGATTGGATGAGGCACACTTGTTAATGAGGGTAATCTGCTTTACTTAACCTACCAATTCAAATGTTAATCCCGTCCAGGAACATTCTCACAGAAACACCCAGAATACTGTTTGACTAAATATCTGGGTGCCTCATGGCCCTGTCAATGTGGTATATAAAATTAACCATCACAGTACTCACAGAGCATTCGAAGGGCACTTAGTCAAATTGTAGGGGCAGGGGCATGTCTGTAAAGGCTTTCATGTGGAACTAATGCCAGAGTTGAGACCTAAGAGACAAGTTGGAATTCAAGAGGTAAAGGTTTCGGGCAGGGTGAGGGAGTTGGGAAGAAGTGTTTCCTAGGTAGAGGAAGCCAACGGTATAAATGCTTACAGGTGAGAGAGTACTTGGAACTTTCAAGAATGGCACGTGATTCGCTGTGGCTGGCATATAGAATGTGAGCAGGAAAACTGGGAGAAGTGGATGAAGTTAGAAAGACTTGTTCAGGACAGGAGGGTTTTGGGTACCACAGGGAGGCATTTTGCTGAGGGAACCTGAAAATGATTTTGAATATGTTAGTGGACTTGAGTGAAAATGGATTGTAGATAGGATGATTGGAGGTAGGGAGATTGATTGGACTAATTTAGATTAAATATCTCAGGGAGCTGAACAGAGGCAGTGGCAATGGGATATATTTGAGAACAATTAAGGCATTAGAAGCTTTAGCCTGGAAGTCAAACAGATGAAGGGGCTAGGAGGAGGGAAATCACAGATGATTCTTGGGATCCTGGCTTGGAGAAGTGGCTGAAATTAGCTTATTACAATAGGAAACAAAGGAGGAAGAGAAAGTTTGCTGGCCAGAGAAGAGTTGTGTGGCATGAACTGTGATAATTTCAGGTATTCAATATAAACATAGCTTAAAAGTTTTCCCTTTCTTCATGGCATTTTCCTACTGAGTTTAGAGTAAGGGAGACTTACATGTTGACATTTCTTTCAGATTTTCATGGCTGTATAACATTGGTAAAATTACTAGGTAAATAAAATATGTGTAAATGTACAGACTTGTTGATGAAACAAACTGGCCCATCAATGGCCAAACAATTAACAATGATAAAGTTTGTTTCAGTAACAAAGCTTCCCAAAGAGAGGGTGATTTGGATGCCTTTCAGCAAAATAAATTCCTTTCTTCTCAGATGACATGTAAACTGATGTCATTTCTCATTCCATAAAGAAAAGAAAAAAAAGAAAGATGAAACTTGCTATGGTCTGCACTATTCCAATGATGGCATTCTTCCTCAAAGTAATCTAAAAAAAGATATTGTGAGCAAACTTGTATTTCCTCTGCCAGAAATGCATGCCTGGCCGTAATGCAAGCCTTTCATATTTAGCTCTTTAGATAATGGTTTTTCCATGAACTTTCATAACATTTATTTACTGCTATAAATGATTGAACCAACTGCTGTTGGAAGCCAGGAATCTAGTTCCTCTGCAGTTGGATTTCTCCCTACATTACCACAACTTTATAAAGGCTGTACCGAAAGTAGTGTTTCCTGTCAATATTTTAAGGGGGCAGTGTGAAATATTTCAAAGGGGCAGAGCATGTCAGTTTTGAATGTTTATAGTTCTGCCTGCTTGCAAAACATGTTAGCCTTACTCTATGAGGACCATGCTTTAGTTATAAATATTTTAACTCTCCAGCCCCAGTTTTTTAGGGTGTACCAAACACATTTTCCTTCCCCTCCCATCTGGCTGACTGATTCATACTCTTCTGTGAATTGTTGCAGCAGAAAAACAGAGATTGCCAAATTCTGAAGACAAGGCTTTCTATATGTTCATCTGGGTAAAATGTAAAAATATAACTTGGGCTGACTTACTAATAAAGGTTTAACCAGGTGATATGGTTTGGATGTTATTTGTCTCTGCAAAACCCCGTTTTGAAATTTGATCTCCAGTGTGCAGTATTGGGAGGTGGGGCCTACTGGGGGGTGCTTGTGTCATGGGGGTGGATCCCATATGAGATTAATGACATCCTGCAGTGGGTGAGTTTGAGCTCTTGTGGGAATAGATTAGTTCCAGCAAGAGAAAATTGTTTAAAAGACTCTGGCTTCCTCAGTTTCTCTCTCTTGCTTCCTCTCTTGCCATGTGATCTCTTTGCACATAGCTACTTCCTTTCCATTTTCTGCCATGAGTTGAAGCAGCAAGAGGCCCTCAGTAGACACAGCTGCCCAGTCTTATCCTATCCAGCCCCTAGAATCATGAGCCAAATAAACCTCTTTTCTCAATTAATTACCCAGCCTAAGGCATCCTTCTATAGCAACATGAAACCCACTAAGACACCAGGGTAGATAATATTGATCATTCAATGGAGAGAGGCACTTTGCTCTAATGGGTGTTCCAGTTACACAACAGAGCCAATTGTGAGCCTGCTGTGGACAAATTTGAACTCCAGGTGGCTCTGCTAAGCAGAGCTCTGACATGAAGGCTTGCCACTCCCTCTAGCACTTGCATGCTGAGGCATAGGGGTTCCCTTACGTTGAGCTGGTTAAACTGGATGAACCAGAGCCTCCCAGAACAGTCTCTCTGGGCCATGGCCTGAGGGTGGCTCCTGCCCTGGCAGGAAGCTGTGCCCACGTGCTTACCTTCATCAGCTCGCACTCTGTGGTGCCAGACATAGCCAGGCAGGAACAGGATATGGCTATGGACAGGACAGTTGGTGCCTGACTCTGGGCCGCTCCAGAAATCCTATTTCCAAAATCTTTTCAGCTCTTAGCTGGCTTCCTACAGTGAGCAAGAATTTCAGCCCAACATTTAGGAACTTCACTCTTGGTGGCCAGAAAATACAGAACCAGATGCTGCTGAGGAAGAAGCCATTAGATGGTGGAGAAAGGTAAAAAGAATATATTTCTTAAAACAAAACTAGAATTGTTTATTTTCTCTCATAAAGTAATCTTCTTATTGCCTGAAGGAAGAATAAAGAACTTCAATAAGACAGTAGGAGAAAACAACTGAACCATTTTACTATAAGAAAGCAGAGAAATGTCTTATTGCTAATCTTTGCTGCTCTTACAGCTAAAAACAAATTTCTGATGTCCATATGAACAGAGACGTGCATAATTATGGAAGATTTCCCTAATACCGGAGAACCTCCGAAGAGTTTCCATTTGAGTTTGCAGTTTAATTGTCACTTTATCTACCTATAGCTGTACATATTTGCTGAATGGGAATGAAGAGAGAAATTGAGTAAAATGCTTGTTTTTAAAAAGGCACAGGAAAAAGGGAGAGTTATTTGCCTAAGGGGCAGTAAGTGTTATGATAAATGTATGATATGGATTCTCAGGAAACGATCTGTCTTCACACCCCTGGACCCTAGCATGGTGCTTGACTTGCAGCATCTGTTCATGTTTGTTGGAAGCTGTGCTTTGGCTTCAATCAAGGTGAGTTTGAGCCATTTAAATGCAGAAATTCTTTAAGAGGTTTTTATTTATTCCATGTAGCCGTTCATTCACAGGGCAAATATTTATCAAAAGATCTGCCGAATGAGACCAGAAGTGAACACAATGAATATCAATATGATTCTACCCTAAATTTTGACATTTTTGCCTGGGTAGCCAAAAAGTGGTTTATTTGCAAGTGAAGCAATACTGTCTATAGGGTTGTTTAAAATATATTGAAAAATGAGCAAAGTGAATAAATTATTTGTTTGTACAGAAGTTTGGTTCATTATTTAAAAGGAGTCTGTTATAGTTCACTTCCCTAGGCCACAGATGATTTTATTTAGACATCTCAGTCCCCTAGAATTACTTCACATTACTCTAGAGATTGTCTGCCTGCCTTTGAATCCCACTCAGGTAACCTCCAAGGGGCCCTGCACCTCTCTAACCTAAGATATTCCCTACTTATGTGAATTTCCTCTTTCACAAGATTGACTTGTGCTGACTCTGCTTCTTTACTTCATATCCATTCATTTAAAACACTTAGTAGGACAAAAAGTGTAAAGAATAATCTAGTAAAGGCCCATGCACCACCACTCAGCTTAGCACATAAAACATTCCCAGTAAAATCGATGTTCCTGTGTATCCATCCCCAGTTGCATCTCGCTTCTTCAGATACCCAGTGATACAATCAATACCTTAAATTTGGATTTGATCATTATCATGTTCTTAAATTATTTATAGTGGGACTAAATATATATGCATGGCTAATCATTATGTCACATTGTTTTCTATATTTTTAAACCTTCTACAAGTGGTATTATATAGTGTGTATTCTTCTGTAACTTGGTATCTTGGTATTTTCATTCATAATTGTGTTGGGGAGATTCATCCAGGATGATTGTGTCACATGGTATGAAATTCCTCAATTTATTTATATACTTTCCTACTGATGGGCATTTAGTTTGTTTATAACTTTCTTGTCAAGGGGTTTAGGGCAGATTATTGTTTGGTGCAAGCAGTGACTTACTGTTAAGAAAGTGTATGCACTGGGTGGTCTGCACAACCTTTCCAGAGGTACATTTGAGCTCAAGTGCTTTTAGGTGCACTGATGGGCTGGTCTCCTACGAAAGCATTTCATCAGGAGGATGTTCCCTTCCTGTTTCTCTCTCTTTTTATGAACCAAACAGAAGAGCCTGGTAGGACTTGGGGACAGTCAGACTGCTTTGGTATCAAACAGTCTGAAGGTAAAATGCGAGCTGTTTGCAGTTAATAAAATCATGAGCTGCCTAAAATCTGGAAGTATGGGGAAGCATGAAAAGCATAGCCTCTTCTGGGACAATGCTCCTAATTCAGATAGTGTCTTACAAGGCAATTTAGAGACCGTTATTGGTTATCATTCTAAGCTATTTTTTTCTTGTTTCAGATAGTGTTGCTATAATCATGTCTTCCTGTCTACATGAGCAAGAGTTTTAAAGGGCATATACCTAGAAATAGTGTTGCTGGATTACAGATATTAAGCCTTATCAAATTTACTGGGGGTTGCCATTTGTTTCTCAAATTACTGAATCAGTTTATACTCCCACCAGCAATTCATGAGACTTTCCATTGCTCTACATCTTCTCCAACAATTGATATTGTCCAAATGTATTAATTTTTGCCAATCTAGTAGATGGTATGAGATGATACCTTACAGAGTGTTTTCATTATGAATGAGATTGAGCATGCTTTGTCTTATATATATTGATCATTTATGTTTCCTTTTTTATGATTGCTTTTTCCTACCTTTTAATCTTATTTTCTTCTGTTTAATTATCTTTTGCTTTCTAATTTGTAGACATCTTATATTCTTGCAACAATTACGTATTGCAAGTACGTCTCACACATTGTTACTGCTGTATTTGTTACACTTTAGAAGAAAACTTTTTAATAGTCTTTTGATAAAGAGGACTTTAACTTTTGGATGTAGTGGTGTCTGTAAGTGTTAAGCCCAGTTTCTAAGAGCTTATGTATTCTTACCGTGTGTTTTGTTTTAATTCCTTTTCTCCAATTTTTTTTTAAAAACAAGACTCTATTATCTTACTAGCTACCTTTACAATTCTACACGCATGTTTAACTTAATAACTATCTCTTCCCTTGTAAAAAATATCTTACAATCTCTTTATTGTTGTACAATATCTTAGTTTTATCTCATTTTTGTATTTCCCTAATTTAGCACTGTCATATTGTTTTGTGCTGCCAATGCTTAATTAGATCTACCTATATATTTAAATTGTCTTCACTTACCATTTGTTTCAGACTTTCTGTAGGGTTTTTTTTTTGTTTTTGTTTTTTGTTTTTTGTTTTTTTTTTGAGATGTAGTCTTGCTCTGTCACCAGGCTGGAGTGCAGTGGCATGATCTCGTCTCACTGCACCCTCTGCCTCCCAGGTTCAAGCGATTCTCCTGCCTCAGCCTCCTGAGTAGCTAGAATTATAGGTGCATGCCGTCATGCCCAGCTAATTTTTGTATTTTTAGTAGAGACGGGGTTTCACCATGTTGGCCAGGATGGGCTCGATCTCTTGACCTCGTGATCTGCCTGCCTCGGCCTCCCAAAGTGCTGAGATTACAGGCATGACCCCTGTAAGAATAACCTCTACAGTTATCCTTTTGGTGAAAGTCTATTCATAATAAGCTCTAAAATTTGTTTGTCAGAAAATATACCTCCTTGACTTCGTTCTTGAGTGAGAATTTACCTAGTCATGACTTTGTAAGTTAAGTTTATTTTCTCATGGCTTTTGAGAGATCTGCTATCATTTGAATCTTAATTTCTTTGCAGGTATCATTCTAACCTATATATTTTTGAAGGTGCTTTCCTTTTGGCTGATTTTAAAGTTATACCTTTGTCTTTGGTGATCTGCAGTGTTGCTGTGATATGTTTAGTTGTAGATGAGAAAAATTCCTAAATCTAAAAGTTTATGGTTTTCATTGTTATATATAAATTTTCAGTGCTGCAAAAGAAGTAGCACTCAAATATAAATTTCCTTAGCAAGGCAATTTACTTCTATAGAAGGGTGCAGCTCACAGATGGAACGATGGTGGGTGCACATCTGGACAAGGAAGGGGAAGGGGTTCTTATTCCTGATGCAGGTAGTCCCTACTGCTGTTTCATTCCCCTATTGGCTAGGGTTAGACTGCACAGTCTAAGCTAATTCTGACTGGCTATGTTAAAGAGAGAAGGGGTATAAGGCAGAGCAGTGGGATGGGTAGTTTGGCAGGAAGGACAGTTACAGGACAGGTCAGAGCAGGTAACCAGAGTTGACTCAGGTCAAACCAGGTGACCCAGGCACGGAACCGGAGCAGGTGACAGGGATGAGTCAGGATGAAGCAGATGACCAGAGGAACAGATGTGAACTACTGATTTGAATTGATAGAAAATATTATTTACTGAAACTACAAAGAAGTGAAACTTTAAAATGGATAATTAAAGAATAAGAGCTGAACATGCTGACATTGATTCTTTGAAGAGAAACTTGGAGTTCACTGTATCTAACATCATCAAGAACATTTTTGATCAATATACTTTCAAATATTGTCCCTTCTAAAACTCTAATCACATGTATGTTAAATTTTATTTTATTTTCCTCTTCTGTTAAAACTTTTAACAGTATTTTTCATCTCACTGGTTCTATTTGCTACATTTTATGAACTTTAAAAAAATTATCTTCCACTTCATTAATTCTCTCATATCAGAATATGAGATGCCCTAAGTTGATGACACCCCAGGCTTTTAAAAACATCCACTAAATTTTTAATTTTGATAACTCTATTTTCATATTTCAGTGATCATATTTTAATTTCCATAAGTCCACTTTGTTTCTTTTTCAAGATTGCTTCTTTATAGTTTCGTGTTTTTGTTTTTTTGTGAGAAATAACAATATATGAAGTTCTGGAGAGTCTGCTCTTGTGATTTCTACAACTCTTTTTCTTGGTGACCTGTTTCCTTAGGGATACTTTTAAATTGAGAAAGTGTATTTGACTGCTTAGAGTCTGGTTGGGTGTTTGTTTCTTTGCATCTGCTCCTGCCATGCAGCCTGGGATGTCACCAACTTAGGGCATCAATTATTATTTTGGCTCTGCCTTTCCAAACCTTAATGTTTGCGTAAATGTGAGCCCCAGACTCACATAGAATAGGTCTGTGTGTTAAAATTATTGGTGGTAGGAAAGGGGTGGGAAGGTAGATTTGACAGATTTAGGAAATAAAAATACAGAGTTAAATTTTATTTTCAGATAAACAACAAAGGTATACATATATTTATTAAGTACACTTTAAGTATTAAATATTTATTAAGCATACTTCAAATATTAACAAAAATCACATAAAATATTTGCTGTGGATCTTCTCTGGCTATGCATGCTGGGGGATGAAGAAGCTTTGTTTCCTTAACCAGAGGTGAAGCTGATACAGATACATTTTCA